AGTGGCTGGTTCGACTGGCCGCATGTCTTATCTTATGGCTAGGGCCGGGGAGTATCCCTCAGTTATCAGGGTGACCTTTCACCTGTCTGGACTTGCGGCGCCTGCCCCTCCTTGGAGGGCGCGTGTCACCGCAGACATAATCCTTATCATTCAGATTTCGTATTGGCGTAGAGTTCTTTCTTGGATTGTGCCCTGGAGTCTCTTCTGCTGCAGACCTATGGCCTCCTTGTCAAAACTTCTTGTTTTAGTACAGGATAAACAATGGCGCTGGCTTTTTTCAAAAGCCTTCTGTTTTGTGTTTATTGGCATTTGGTTTTATATCCCAACTGAAGAAACTTCCCCCTATTTGGGTCCGGCCGCCTCTAGCCCTCTCTCCTTCTCCCCGGACCCACGGGGGCGCCCTAGTTCCTGAGGCTTTCCGGGCAGGCCTGGACGGAAGGGATCCTCTTCGGCCCCAACCCCCAGCCCGCCCGCCATTTTTTGTTCCTGGCGTTTTATTCTATCTGTATTATAAGAACAGATGTGTATCAAGTGTTGCACACCACGTACTACCGCATATCTGTGATTGTCAACAGATTCAGTTGGACCTGGAAGCGTATATGTAAGCAGCGAGACATCTTAGTTTCCCGATGGAGGTGGGTCTGGACGCCCGCGTCGGCCTCATGGTCCGTCTGCGGACCGCATGATGTGGCACGTTTCATGCGGTGGGATGCGCTGTCCTGCCCCGAACATGCTCCGATTGGACGCGCGCGTATTCGCACTCACTATAAGGGAACTCCTTGCGCCGTTTACTGACTCTGAAAAAAGCCGGCCGGCTGCACTCCACTTTTGGTTGACCAAGCAACTTATTTGCACAGTGGCCCTGTCCCTGTTCTAATTCGTAGTATGCGCCCCCAGGTGACGAATCCTGTAGAGCCACCAGGTGTGCAAACGAGCCCCCGCCACTCGAGTTTAAGCTCAACAGACACACTTGTTGCGATGTGTGGCAATATTAACTAACCCCGAGTAGCTCCCGGTACGCGCTTTCTCTCAAGAAAAGGCGACGAAAAGAAAAAACCTTTTCGCCTTCTGGATACTGAATACGCTCATCGTTGTATCTTCCATAAGCATATTATGCCGACCAGCACGGATCCAATTAACATCCCTGCATTGCCCTGTGCAAGAATTGCCTATCTCAGCGATCCCGAGGGAGGGGTGGTTGTTGTTGTCGTATGTGCGATGTAACTGATTGATGATATGGGCTTATGGAGACGCGTTGATGTTCGGTTTTATGGCACGGCTGACTGATGGTTGCGATATTCCTAAATCGTCGGCATTGCAAAGTTGCATTTTCCCTGTTGCTAAATATCGTAGTGTTGCCAAACATTTTTATTTCCGGACTAATCGGGTTATTCCTGTTAGTCGGGGATGTTATTGCATCCCGCACTAATTCCACAACAAGTTTGATACCCTCACGATTTAGCCTATATCTCTTGATCAATTCACAGTCTTCCATTGTCTCCAAAACATTTCGTCTCGCAGCCATTTTCAGATTCTTTGTGAATAGGTCTTACTGAGTTAGGAGTCCTCTCGAGGACTTTTAAGCTCTCCTAAACTTAGGTGCTACTTTTAGGCCTAAAATACTTTGTGAATTGCTCTTAGTGAATAAAATTAGGAGTCCTAAATTTAAGACTGACACGCCCATTATGTTTAGGAGTTTCTCCTAAATTCGCCAGTTAGGAGCTACTTTTAGCCCTAAGATCCTTTGTGAATACGGCCCCTGATCTATATGAATGCACCTGCCCATTGCCTGATCAAGTTAGATGCCGCCTATCACAGTGCGCTGAGATTTGTTACTAACTGTAAAGCACTTACTCATCACTGTACCCTGTATGCCAAGGCAAGTCTGCCATCACTTACTGTAGGGAAGCTCAGTCATTGGTACATGTTCATCTATAAAGCCATGTTGGGTAAACTACCATCTTATATCTGCTCTCTGATCACACGGAGAGTTGCAGGTAGCTATTGCCTGAGATGACATGATGTGTTTTTATTACATGTGCCAAGTGCTATGACTGTTTTAGGTACTAAAGCTTTTATGTGCGCATGCTCCTCTAGCTTGGAACACTATGCATTTCTTTTTTAAACTGAGCATTTTGGTTCCCCTGCATCATTTTAAAGCTTGGATAGATGAAATGCTATTTGATACTCTTGGTACCTGTCATTGCGAAAAGGTTGTAATTTGTACCCCTGTATTTATGGTGTATGATGTTTTCTGTTGTTTTCATGTGTAACCAACAGGTCTCCCTTGAAAAAGAGATCGTTGATCTCAATGGGATTTTACCTGGTTAAATAAAGGCTACAAACTAACAAACAATTGTTCATGTAAATGGTCTGCAAAGGCTAAAATCTCCAAGTTCCCTACAGAGGGACTTTCTCTCCCACATGTGTGTAAAGAACATTTAATCACAATCAATCCAATAGAGAGATAGAGTATTTCAGCTAGAAACACACAAATGTAAACCTCACTGTGGTGCCAGAAATGAAGTCAGAGAATCCCCAAGGTCAGAGTAATTCATGCTCCGAGGAACGGAGCAAGATATAGTGCGATATTTTCTCAAAGTGTTAGACAGACCAACACTTTCAGGGCTTATATTGTTAAAAAAATAACCAACAAACGTACCCTTTACATTTTCCAGACTGCCAAAGGCAAAAAGATGGAGTTTTATGACGTGGTGAAACAGCGTATCCTCAAATCAGAGAAACCAAGCGGACATCACGTAAGCTCCGTTCACATCAGTATCTGGGTACCATGTGTACTACGACTACAACACGAACACCACCATTTTAATCCTCACCTTTCAAAGTACTCAATTAAGCATGAACTTATTAATACTACAACACCACTAAATATACTGTAATATACAAGTTATATATTGAAGTACAATGTGAACATATTTACTCGTAACAGTATCATTACTTGTTAAGTTTGTATAAATATTTGTTTTATTCAAATCCATTCTATTTTATATTAAACTGGACATTTTACTTAACTCGTGTTTGAAAAGTATGCTAATGTTTTATTAGGATATTTTACTTTAGCTTTAATTGGACACTTTACTTAAAACAAAATATTTGCATTTCATTTTATCTTTTTATTGTACATTCTTATTTTAACTTCTTGTGTTCATATGAAAATGTGTATCCTTTTGTATTTGTCTTATTTATTTCATTCTCAAATGGAGTAACTGTCATAAAATGTATTTTCCATCGGGATGAATAAAGTGTTATGCTTCTGATTAGCCACACAACAAAACGGGCAAAGCTTTAATCTAAAATCGGGATAAATCAACGATATTATACATCTGAGATGTTAAGCTTTCAGCACATGAGTCTTTTGGAAACTGAGCAATAAACACACTCATTTCATCTCTAATCATGCCGTTTCGACAAATACTGTTGGGAAATCACCGTTATTAAATCTATGGATTATTTTATAACTTTCTTAAGGGGTTTTCTGTCCCTCTGTGAACTTATATGAGTAGAAAATGTGACAAACATCTGACATTTGACCCTTCAGATTGAGCAAGAGCTGCGACATGTGACGTTGACACAGATCGAGTGTGACGCTGCTTCACGGTGTTAGAGGAAGTGAAAGAAGTCAATCGAAAACTTGGATGGAATAGTTCTCTTTAGTAAAAAATATCTCAAAGTGTTTCTCAACGTCATGTGATGCTGGGTGATGCTGGGTAATGCAGCACAGCAACATAGGTTTTTTTTGGGCAAAAATGTAAAATGTGCGTGGATGTAAACAAATCTCCTTTCTTTTATTCCAACAACCCTGACAGAGTTAGACTTCTTCTTTCTTCCAGGTAATATCATATTAACACTTTAAGCTAGTTATTCTCATATCTTTCTTCATTTTGCCACAAGTAGTTCATTTTAAAATAGTGTTTGTGTTGCACATCATCTTTTGCTGTTATTTCCATGTGCCAGATACATATTTCCTCAACATTAAGCCGGTACCATATGTTATGAGGACACATACCTGGTGCAGCCTGGATCATGTTGAGCTCGCTGGTGATCAGAACCTCCAGGACCTGAACCAGAGGATCCAAACTAGAGTCAGACCTGAACAGAAACAGGAAATTCATATTTAAAATCGTCCCTCACAAGCATAAGGGTTTAGATTCATGGTCTTAACCTGGTAAGCCCTGAGCCTGCTTTTCAGGTCTCAGGCTCGAAAATGACATTCCCAGAACAAATGACCATATCTTCCCTTCTAAAAGGGTTACATTAATAATATTTTTTCTCAAAGCAATGATAAACCTGTGAGTTAGATGTAGAAAAGTCAGAAGCAATATATATATATTTTTATTTTAAAGTAAATTCAGATTGAACATTAGTGAAAGTTACAGATACAAAATTACAGTAAAGAAATGTAAATGATTGTGTCCCTCAAAAAAGAAAACATTACTTATAGTGAACACCACCCTTGAATGATGGGATGGTAGACTAAAAGCTTTAGGAATCCAAACTACAACATATAATAAGTATCCTGTATCAAGATTAATGCAAAACAAGTGACATTTGACCTTTTTAGAGAAGTTTAGCAAGAAAGAAAAACCCACCTCTGGGGTCATTTTGGTGGATTTGCCGTTTCTCTGGAACCCATTGGTCGATTTTGGTGATTGACACCTTTTTTGAACCGTTAGAGCCAATAGAATCGAGGGGAAGTTCCTAAATCCACCTACACGTTACCACGAGGAGTGAGAGTGATGCGCACGCAGTTTGCCCAAGCCGAAAGCTAGGTTACGCTCTGAAAACTGAAAACTAGGCTTATTGCCATAAATTGATGATGGATTATCAGTAATCATTTTAAAGGGACACAGAGACATTGGATTAACCTTCAGCAGCGTTTATATGCGTTTTAATGCCATTGAACACAACTTTTGATCAGAAAACAGCAAAGGTAAGACGTTTTTAAAGTGAAGTTGTCTTTGCTTGCTTTCGCTGCCACGAGTTTTGGTCGCACAGTGATGTTACTTATACCATTGGAATCTGTGGAATCTCAGCTTTTATATGATATCCAGTTTATGAAGATCCGATGAAGTATAAAATATTTCTACCGTGAGTTATGTGCTAAGTGCGTTAGCACTCTTTCGCTTAGTGCTAATTAGGGATGCTCCGATCGATATCGGCCGATACTCACTCTCTGCCGATCGATCGGTGCTCTCTAAAAATGTATCTACCTCTGGATCAAGCTAAACTAGTTATAAATATATTTATTCTTTACTGTCGGGTCACTCATTACTGGATCAGTGAGCTGCATGAGATACTGACGGGCTGTCAGGAGAGAGAGAGAGGGAGAGAGAGAGAGAGAGAGAGAGGGAGAGGGAGAGGGAGAGAGAGAGAGGGAGAGGGAGAGAGAGAGAGAGAGAGAGAGGGAGAGAGAGCGGCTCCGCTCATTTCTCATGTCAACTTGAATAATATACTTCATTTGAATGTAATAATTATGTTGGTTGTTGTTTGTGGAAGCGCCAGTGAATGAGCCCCATTAACTGAGTTTTAAACATCACTTTAAATGGAAGATCCCCATAGGCCCCGCCCACTCGATCGGTATCGGCCGATACTGATTCCGGCGATCGGCCCCAAAATTGGCGCTCGGAGCATCCCTAGTGCTAATTCAGAGGCTCGGCGTTAGACTTGTGTTTTGTTTCGGTAAAAATGGTTCATATCGTCAGGTAGCCGAGTTGTTTCTCGTTAAGTGGGTAGGACACATTCATAGTTTGGTAAATGTTACGAAGCCCTCAGACACAGTTTCTTGCAAGATGTTGCCGAACAGGTTAAAAAAAGGAAAATGTGTAAGATATGGCCAGAAATTGTGTTTCAACTTAAAAACTACCATTATCAACAGAATGTGAAGAGGTTACCATTTTTTTTTTCATGATGTCTATGTAGAATTTGCAGCGATATCTAGTGAAATTAGCATGCTAACTCCCTTGCAATAGCCCGTACAGAACCACTTGACTTCATGTCACCACCGCAGCTACTGTTCGGCGTCATGAAGTTTAGTCGTCCCATTGAGTCCCTTGCTAGGAACCGATGTAAAAGCTTTGGACATTCTTGAGTGTGGTATTTCCTGGCGCATTTTACATCGTATAACAAAACATAGAAAGTCCCAGGCATGTCAGGCATCTTCAGGAACCTGGAAGTTCTAAACTGCTAACTCTTTTCCAGCTTTAGGACTTATTCCTCCCCCACTCTATAGCAATACTATAAAAAAAACCTGTGCAAGTTACTGACCCTGCAGCCTGTCTGAACAGCGGGGGGCTGAAGCTCTCGGCCAGGCTGCGGGGGCTCAGCTGGTTCCTGGAGCTGTGCAGACAGAGGCGGGCCAGGTGCCGCACCACGCTGAGCAGCGTCAGGCCGTACTGGGCGGGGCAGGCGGGCGAGCTGGACACCCCCCGCAGGACCTGGGCGCACTCCTCAAGGTCCCGCACCTCTGCAGACCAACACAATGAACTGTTAACACACACCCACTTCAGGACTGTTGCAGTGAGTCGGGAGACAGGGATGGGGGCTTTACTCTCACCTTGCACTGCTTGGATCATTTCTGCCTGCAGCGAGGAAGGGAGGATGGGCCCTGGCAGATCCTGCAGGAACCGGAACACCCCGTCACACAGGGAGGACACCTCCAGCTGCTCCAGGTCTGAAAACAAACACACCTCGGGTTAAAAAGGTACAGCGATCCAGTGGTGTAAAGTAACCAAGTACATTAATCAAGTACTGTACTGAGTTCGAATTTTGAGGTACTTTTACCTTACTTGAGTATTTAAAGTTTATGCTACTCTGTACTTCTACCCCACTACAATTCAGAGCTAAACGTGTACTTTTACTCCACTACGTTTATTTAGTACCTTTAGTTACATTACAGATCTGGATTGATGATGTGAAACATAATCAAGTGTTAAATCAGACTTTAGTTCCACCTGGAGTAAATTCACAAGCTACCCTGCAGTATACAAAGTCATTCAAACCCTTGTTTTTTTTTTCTTAGGTTTTAGTCTTTAAATTACCAAAAATGTTTTTTCCAAATCTCAGATAAAAATATTGGCATTTGGAGATTTTATTTGCAGAAAATAATACCTGTCAAAATAACAAAAAACATTCAGTGGTTTGTGTACCCAAGTAAAGTTCATATTTATTTTAAAACACCACAGCCGCTTGAATTCTCACAAGCTGTGGCAAAAGGTCACTGAGCAGTAATGTGTCCTAATGGTGGAGAGGATGCCAATGTGCATGAAAGCTGTGACCAAATACTGATCTGTGAACTCGGAAAGTAAAACACTTTAGTATTGTGGTGTTAAAAAAGATACATTCATTTATTTTCTGTGTATTCTTTGAGATCTGAATCACCCGCATTCTTTTTTTTTCATTTTCTAAAAATAAATTCTCTTTTCTCTTAATTACAGTATTTGTACTTGGAATTAAAAATAAATGTTGTCACTATTTAACAAAATAAAACAAAAAATTATGTTTTAAGTAATAGTTTCTACATACCTAAAACCAGATACACCGATCATTTTGCCGTGATCTCTTTATTTTCCTAAGCTGTAAATATATATACAATAAAATCACTTCAGAGAGATAAAGAATAACGCAGACTGAGGTGTTGTCGTGTGGTTCGGGAGTATTTACTGAGATCACAGCTTCCACCATGTTTGACCTTTGTTGTGTGCCAATGCCCTCACTCTCTCGTTAACTAGTTCCTGTCTGCATTTTTACTCAAATAAAATGTTTATAGTCATAGAAATGTCAGTAAAAGAAGAAGACTCCTCACCAGCGTCGGCCAGCTGCCGGGTGTCCAGACCCGCTCCAGTCAGACTGCGATACACACCAAGACTCTCCGCACCTGCAGCAACACACAGCAGATGTCAACAACACAAAGTAAACCGTGCCAAGTGAGGAATGAAACAGGTTGGTGTGACAAAAAGAAAAAAGAAAAGCTGTGTGTTTAGCCACGTTATACGCACAGTGGTAAATAGATTTTATATTTACTGATACTGTTTATTGACCTGATGTTTTTCGACACTAATAGATATTACTCTCCATAATTTGGTGCAAAAGTTAAAGACATGACATGAAAAGGTGTAAAAATATTTAACACCAGTTATTTTATTGTTACTTTTCTTTCAGAATAAGTGCAAGTAGTTATCGAGTTTCCCAGAAGCAAACAGTGTTACAAGTATACGTTTATCAAGACATTACATACATTTTCCAAAGTAGGACTCATTTACCTAGCGAGTAGTTAGAGGTTTGTGCTATGCTAGCTATGGGCTACTGAAGATACCTAAACAAACTAGACCCCACGGTAGTGAAGTGCAGTAAATCTTGGTGACAGCGCTGAGACACTTCCTGTGTTCCTGTTCCCCTTGTCAGAGATGGCAGGCTGCACTTAGGACGGAGGACGTGTAGCGCTAACGTTAGCAGGCACTTTGTAAAAGCAGTGGAGTACTTCGTGACCACAGTGTGAACGTTGTGATCAGCTGTTTTAGCGCAGTTCTCCAGTGAAGGGGGGGGGGGGAAGTCTCCCTTCGCAGCCGGTTGGCGTAGTTTTGGCACAATGCCGTTGTACAGACCGACGTTAACAGCAGCCTTGTCTGTGCACACGGAGACCGACTGTCGTCCGGTGATCTAACCGCCTTCTGGAAAAGCTTCACAAGTACGTCGGTACGCAAATGCGCTTTGTGACACAAGTGACGGTACGCATTTCAGATTACGCACATAACCTGCGTACCAGTTATGTGCACCCCTGTACTACAGCAAAAGTATTCTCCGTCGGGACTTCCTGCAACAACACCACGCCGTTATCTTGATTCTGATTGGCCAGAAGACATTATCAAAGATGTTCTATTGAGAAGACGATCACTATGTAACAAGAGTTTTCAAAACCGTTTCTGGTCTTCGGTATTTTTTCGGTAAATCAATCTTACTAACTGCTGTCTGTGCAATTTTCGGCTCGAGTTGGCAGACTTTATTTTGCTTACTTTAACATCATTTTTCATGGTGGGGCTAAGCCATTTCTTGGTATGGGTGTAGCCTACCCCAGCCATACCCTGGCGCTGCCACTGGTGGGATGTAGGGGGCGGGCCATTCTGCACATGCGTTAAATGCGTTAAATATTTTAACGCAATTAATTCAAAAAATGTATTACCGCTGTTAACGTGATAATTTTGACAGCATTAGTTTGTATACATCTGTATGTGCGTTTGGTACCTTTGGTCTCGATGGCTTCCATCAGTCTGCTCAGGAGGGGGGGGGATGTGTCCGGGGGGCCAAATTGCTCAGCAAGGTCCGGCAACACTAAGCCTAAAAACAAATACAATAAAACACAAACTGTTCAATAGGCTGCATGACATTAAAACACATTTGCAGTGCACTTTGTGTGCAAGTTGACACTGTACAGACGATATATATGATTCAGTCCCTACTGTTCAACACAGTTTGGGTTGATGAGAGGTGAACACTTCAGCCTGTTTTAAGTTTCAAGTCATTCAATTGGGCTTCCCTTTTCATTTATGTATTCAGACTATTTAAATGAATATGGAAAATATAGTAGTAGAGGGTGCTGCGTTTTGAATACAACTGTCATTAATATCTATTTCTGTATGCCAAATAGGACATTTTCTGCTCATGTTCAGGTTCATATTTAGTGTCTTTACTGTGACTTGTTATTGCAGTGACATTTAAATGCAGGCACATGCACAGATAGACCCAAAGGGGGGCTTGAGCACCTGCCCTTATATTTAAATGTATTTGTCCAGATTTTTTTGCGCACAATGATGAACAGTGCAATTGCCTTCTATTGGAGAGCACAGCTAAAGGCTAAACGTTACGTATAGAGGGTTAAATTACTCAGTGTTTTATTTGACTGGTTAAGCTACTGAACAGTTTTATTCTGAAGCAAAATAAGTTGAGTTTTGTAAGGTATTTGATATCATGTGTATAGTTAATCATATAACAGAGACATAACATTGGGTCAAGTTACACTGTATAGTGTGTATGTTTGCCTTTCATATAAAAATGATCTTAAATCAATGAAAAACATAAACCTGTGTTTTTAGATACAATATATGTTTTTGTCTTTTGTCACTCAAATGGCTAGGTAAGACTTGGGCTATAATGTAATGAGAATTTACTGAAAAACTCTTCATTTATTTGTAAAATAATTGTCATGAAGCAGTGTTTGAATCAACCTTAGTCATGGGTTTGTTTCAAAAACATACATTTCAATATTCCTTTAACACTTGTCATATCTTAGTCATTCCAGGCAAACATTTGTTAAACTATAAACTCAAATCCCCGGCGTGCCTTTTTATGCATTTGGGGCCATTCCCCTCTAACATCCTCTGCACGTGCCTGTTCAAATGTATATGTCGGGTTGAAAGTGAAAGAAGTATACAGACTGCTTTAAGAGAGAGTTGTTGAGCTGCCGTCAGATGAGAAAGATTATGATGACGAGCAGTAAATAGATTAGTAAAAAAAAAGTTCAAATGAAATTCACACCTGTCTCCACAAACTTCAAAGCTCTTGACACGAGAAGCACTTACTACTTAAAGTGCTACTCACATGAAAAGGTAAAAAGCAACAGGAAGCAGTGACAATCAGATCACTGATACCACAACACACACACTGTTCTCTGGTAGGGCTGATGCATAGTTCAAATCTGTTCTGTCAACAACCTGTGTGTGTGTGTGTGTGTGTGTGTGTGTGTGTGTGTGTGTGTGTGTGTGTGTGTGCGTGATACAGCTGCTGCAGAGGAAGCAGCTGAGGGAAACTGAGCACATTATACGGTTGAAAACTGAGCGATCAGCTTAGCACATCAACATGATTTAAGAGGAACACTTCTACTGACTCTATATGTATTCATATCCTTAGGACCATAACATCCACCGTAATATAACTTTACAAGCCATTTAAACACAGGATAGTACAAAGAAATCGCATGCAAACAGAACAGTTTGACAAGACTCGTGTCACTTAGATCAGGTATAGATAATATCAGGAGCATAAATACATGTTTGCTTTATTTAGAGCAGTGGTTACCCCATGCATGTTGCTGTGAATGAGCATAACTTGTGTTTTTGGGGCAGATCTTTGTGGGCCTTTTCTTTTGGCTAACATGCAAAGAACATTTGAGCATACACAGCATGTTTGCAGCTGCATTTTATGGATGACTTTTTTGCAGCCGGAGAGGAAGTTTGGGGTTTTGGAGCTCACCCTCTGACTCAGAGTCGGTCCTCACGGAAGCTGCCGATGCTGGCCTGGGTGGGCGGGGCTTTGGTGTGGGCGGGGACATCCTCTTTCTGCCAATAAACTCCACATACGTTCCCGGGAAGTCGCCTTTCTCCTGTGGACCAGAGAGAAACACATTAAGAGTTGAACAAATGGCACAATCTGACAAAAACGTGTTAACAAGTTAACACCACTATGATTTTTGAAGTGTAAAAGTAAATCACCAGAAGTAAAAAGTTAGGCTATAAACAAACCACATCACGGTCAAATTGCTGCACATCTCCACCTCTAAGCTCAAGGTGGCTAATGTTTGGCGGGATGACATTTAGTTGTTTATTTGGTCACTTATTAGCAGCTGCCGTTTTGATGACGTGTAGAAGCTTCAGACATTCACCAGTGCAGTACTCATTCACTGCCATATTTAATGTCGTAGAACAAAACATGAAAGTCTCTTAAACTTGTGTCAACCACAGATCTTCTTTCTCTCATCTAACCACAAACACGTTCAAAAAGACGTTGACTCTTAGATGAGAGAACAAGAAGTGACAAAATGCTAACTAATTTCCTGGATTTAGGACTTATTCCTGCTTCCTCTATAGCTTAACCAGTCCTCCTCACAGTGTCTAACTTGCCCGTGTGGGGTCATACCTGGGTGGTCTCGTTGAAGCCCGGCAGCCAGCCGATCTCTGAAGGTCGCTCTTCGGCTCCGTTGCTGCAGCCGAGCGCCAGCAGCGCTCCTTTACTGACCAGCAGCATGTCTCCCACATGCAGGTCGATGTCCTCCTCCCTCTCCTTCTTGTAGTCGTACAGCGCTCTGTACTGAAAGCCCTCGGAACTCATTGTGAAGGCTGTATGGCTTTTCAATAACTAACAAAAACAGCTCTAAGTAACAAGATATATAAAAATAGGCTTTTATCCTGAGTGGATTTAATGAGGAGAATGTAGACTGAGTAAATATGGCGTTTCCATCCGTCTGTGTGTCTCTCCTGTCTCCATGTCTGCTAAAGTCCTGTCATCCCTCCAGGCCGAGCCTCAGCCGCCCGATCAGAGCATCCTCGCCGTTCATGAACAGAAGTCTCAGAAGAGGCGGCGGCCACATCTGGGGAGGCGACGAATCGACCTGTGAGAGGGGAGAGTTTAACGAGAGGCAGCAGCAGATGGAGACAGGAGACACATAGGGCAAAACAAAGTACATCAATACAGAAGACTTGTTTCCATTTTTTTTCTTTTTTTTTTTCTTCTTCTTCTTTTCTTTTTCTTGTGAATTTATAACAGATGGTCTTTCCTTTATAAGGCAGGGACCTGAATGAATCACTTAGATTTGAATCTGTCGAGAGTGGCATTATTTTATACAAAAGTGGAAAAATCTATTTTTTTAAGACGATGAGGCTTTAAGATTGTAATTTTCCACACTGAGAATTTTTTGCTTTAATCTTAATTAAAAGTTCCATTAATTATGCTTGTACAGAAATAATATGGACCATAAAATACATGTATTAAAAAAAAATACTACAGCTCTCTGAGGTTACACGGCAACAATACATCATTAAGAAATACATGTTTCAAATAAATAAGGCAGGATCCTTTCTAAGTGTGTTTTTTGCAGTATGGTGTACGTTTAGGTTTTACCGTATGTGACAGTGACCTTAACCGTCACACATGGAAAACATTGTTACACCCACACATAGCACTAATGCCAGGAATCCCGACTCCCCTAGAAATAGCTGAACCCCCTTTGCTATGTTTTTTTTTAATTTTTAAAAAAAAAATTTTTAACAGACATTGCTCCAGATAACAAACCGTACATCAAAACATGTAACAACAAACAACTAAACAAAA